CTTATTATTTTCATTGTTTGTGCGTCTGGGAGGGAAACTCCAGCTCTGACCTGAGCTCTGCATGTCTTTCCCGACTTCTTAGCCAGACATTCTTGTCTGACCTCTTGGTTAAAAATTATTCTAAATACCATCAATTTTAATGAAAATCCTAGCATTGCATTGATAAAATATTTTTACATTTTTAAATAATTGAAATATAAACAATTTTGTTAGTTTTTCCCTTTAAGATCTTGACCTTTACTAAAAGCACCATGCTAGGATTGAGCTAGTGATGTTCGCCTTCAAGTTTCTTGAGAATTTGACTTTGGGATTTGATTCGTCCAAGACAATCCATTTATCCCTTATGTCAAATCATGAAAAATTTATCTCACGTCAATGTCTTACCTTTGATTTTAACGGCACACAATTAAGGGCCACAATTTTCCAACCAGCTCTATCTATAATAAGATAACAGTAAACCTGAAATGAACACAACCTAACAATCTAGCAAGGTTCCACCCTCATGGGTTGAATCGCTCTAAGCCAAGCAGAGTGAACAAAAGATTCTAAGCAGAGCAGACATCGGTTATTGCATCTGATAGGATCAAACAACACAAGTATATAACTTCAGAGAATTCACAACACTTCAACCAAAAAAACATCTTGTAGTAAGTAGCGAACAGCTGATTGTTTACAACAGAGATGTTTAAAGTCTAAAATTAACTTTGCATAATCAAAAGGACAGTATAACTGCATATTATCATAGGGTAAAATTAAGTTAATACATTGTGGCAAAAGGGAAAAGGACAAGGTTCAAAATTACAGCTACCACATTACTACTAGGAGCATTGCAGAAGTGCACTAGGCACACAAATATCTTCTTATAAAAAAAAGTCTGCTTTTGTCGCGTAGGATGACATCTGTGAGGAGAAGAAACAATGTGATTAGGTATATATAATTGCATAATTGGAACTACAGAATAAAAAATAGTTACAGAATATATAGGTGACCTCGTGGCCGTGCTTCTATTTCTGCGGCTTCTTCCACAAGACCCCAATCCTCTTCAGCATGTTCCCATTTTTCTTTTTGATAAATTCATCCTCTATGTCTTCGGAATAAGGTGAACCAATCTTCCCTGCCATAGGACTATAGTGGCTGTCCATTGACCCAGTTCTCTCCATAAACTTTCCATTGTTTCCTGTTGAAAGCATAGCTGCAGCTGCCTCCGCGGCCTTTCTCCACTGGTCAGACTGCACCTTCAGCCTCCTTAACTCGGCCTCCATTTCAGAATTTGCTGCCTGCACTGCCTCCAACTGCTCGGCCACTCGTGCTGCCTTCCTGTTACTCTTATCTGCTTCCTCCATCACATAACCGAGCTTCATGAGAGCCTCTCGCTCTGCAGCCCTTGCAGCCTCTAAGTCGATAACAACCTCATCACTCACTTTACCCCCGTTATTCATTTCACCGTTTCCAGTTTCAAACTTTAGTATCTTGTTTTCCTCAGAAAGATTCTGTAATTCTGTCTCCTTATCCATCAAATTCGCTTTTAAATTTTCAACATCGTCCTTCAATTTTTTGAGCTCCTTTTCAAGTTCAAACTCTCTATTGCCTGACAGAGCATTCTCCAGCCGCATATTCAAATCCTCATTTTCCTCGCAGATACCCTGCAATTCAGTTTCCTTATCCATCAAGTTTGCCTTCAACTCTTCAATATCAACTTTGGATTTCTTTAGTTCTGCCTCCAGCTCACCCTCTCTCAGGCTCGATGTGGATTTTATCTGCTCTACTATTTCATAAGCACTTCTAATCTGCACTGTGCTTTGAGTTTTTTCTTCATGGTATCTGATCTCATTGGCTTCCAGAGCAGATCTTAGTCGTTGTACTTCAGAGTTCATGCAACTAAGCTCTGCTTCAATTGGTTTTCCAGTCTTTTCAGTTTCTATGGTTTCAGATTCGTGGTTTTGATCACCTTCACAATTCGAGTAAATATTGCTGCCAGCATTAGTGTTATCATCCTTAAGTTTGTTTACAAGTTGTTCCAGCATGTTTTCGTGTGCCCTTGATTGGTCCAGCTCCATAGTTATGGCTTCATAGGCCTCCTTGGATTTGATACCATCCAACCTGAGGTTCTCTACAGTCCTTCTGGTTGTTTCCAGCTGAAGCATAGTTTCACCAAGAAGTGCCTGTGCCTGAGCTTCCGAATCTTTGCAATCCCTCAGCTGGTTTTTCATGTCTTCCAAAAGCAAAAGGGTCTCTGCAAGGTTTTCTTTCAAGCTATGGAGTTCAGCATGGGTAGATTCTGCTTGCTTGGACTTTTCATCCTCAGATTCAGCTAACATTTCAAGCTGGACTTTTAGTATCTTAATCTCATCCAAAGCGGAGGCCAAAGCACCTAACTCAACTGAATGCTGCTTCTGGATAGCCTCAAGCTTGGATTCCCATGCTTGGTCTTGTTCCTTGGAGATACTTTGGAGTTCAATTACACTAACATCCTCAAAAGCAGACCGCTCCAAAAGCTGTTGCTTGGACTCTTCGAGCTTTGAAGATAGGGCTGAGAGCTGCTTTTTTGACTCCTCTGCTTCTTGTTGGGCTTGCTTCTTCAATGATTCTGATGAACTCAGCTGATCCTTCACCTTTTTCAAATCATTTTGAAGTTGAGAAATCTGAGATTCCAGCTCAGCAACTCTGCTTGGGCGCTTCTTCTGCATCTTGCAAGAAGAAAGATAATGTTCAGGAATTTCATGCCACACCCAATGTGCACAAAATTTCAAAGGCATGTGAAAGTTGAGCAATATATGCAAACAGTAGTAGGCAGAAACTACTTACTACGTGATGGTAATACAAACTAATGTTAAAATAACGTGCATCGGTTAGCTGGCTTAGAAAACCTGATTGACGGATGACCGAGCACTAAAGCTGGACTGTATGTGACTGTTAGTGAAAGTAGGAGGGGATACAAAAAATGGTACACCATGTTTGAGAATAGGCATACCTGGTCCTCCCTTTTTATTAAAAACAGTAACTCTAACATACCCCTAACCTCTTTCCCAAAGAAAAAATCTCCCTGACCTATACATCATCCAACAAAAAAGCAAATATAAACTGGATGCATTGCCACGGTGCAGTATTGTGTGTTTGGATGGGTTAAGAAACCTAGTTACAATGACTCATGCAAGCCTTTATAGCCGACTTTAATGGAACGTGCTGCACGAGTGCACAAAGCATGATACTAAACTTTTACAACGAGGGCCTAAATGCTTAGCCTTTTACATTGCCAGCACCAAGATAAACTCAGATAATTTGCGACACCTACTTCGCTGCAAACTGATGCAAGGCTGGTGGGTTTTTGTAATTTAGTTTACCTCAGGAACTGGGCTTCTGGGTGACTTGCGTTCATTCACTTTAGGGCTTCTGTCTTTTGGTGTCCTACTAGCTTGGTTTGAAGCAGATGAAGATTCCGATTCCAATGCAGTTGTCTTCAGTTGACGCACAACTCGAGGAGAAATCTTTTGAGGCACTTCTGAAGAAACTGCCTGAGGAGAAATCTTTTGGGGCACTTCAACAGAAACTGTTCGAGGAGAGATCTTTTGAGGCATTTCTGAAGAACTGCTTCTGCTACCAAAACCAGTCAAGTAGTCAGCTATTATTTCGAAAAATCAGGAATCATCAGAAACTAACAAAAGAATCATTTTCAAATGAAAGTTAAATCATGAGGACAACTGAGATCCACTGTATTCTGGCTTGCAATCTGTCGTAGCATGCACCAGGTTGGCCACCTTTTGGATGGCAAGCAAATTAATTGGTGTCGGAGCAGTTCTCCAACAGGAGTCAATCCTACAAACTTGGGAAATAAATCGTCCTAGGCACTATTACCAAGTTTTTTAGTGAACAAGAGTTAAGTACAAATAGGATATTACATGACCGACAATATTGTTGAAATTAGGAAGCAAGTTGCCATCAAACTACCGCAAAGTTACAAAGAAATTTGGCAATACATGATAAATTGGTATCAGTATTCAGGATTGTGTCTAATGTGCAAACATTGCAAACTGTTTAGTAATGGTCGTCCAATAATGAGTACTTTAGCTGGAATAGGAAAGGACTAACACAAGACGCTTTAACAAATCTGAAGTTTCTATTTGCAATGCTCCAGATGACTCAACGTGATACTGCATTCAAGAAGTCAGAAGTGTCTAGGCAGGTAAACCTTCTATAATCTTCTTATATGGTGTATTAAAGGGCGGTTATTTTCAGTCACAAAAGAATCAAAACCAATGAATCGTCTTCATCAAAAAGAAAAGGAAAAGAAACTATCACTAGGGAGGCAAAAATATTAGGACTCAATAGAAAAATTGAATCCCAGTCCATCCATGTTAAGCTAACGTATGTAAACAATCCACAAATATAATACCAAGGAACTAGAGGACCACATGATCTACAGTAGATGACAAAATTATTCAAAATTCAGCAAAGAGGAAAAATAAGTATAGCGTAAATTGCCTAAGCATAGACCCCCAAGCTTCCAAAAATGCGTCCGCTGGCCCCAGTAAGAGTGCCCTATAGCACCCCAAGACAAAAAAAAAATGCTAAATTTTTGTGTGATACTGAAAGCAAGAAAACTCGGTTTAAAATCTTCCCACAAATTCTAGTTCTCAGATATTGATGGACAGACAAAAATGTGGGATAACAGATGTATGATATTATATCACAGAATTAAGAGAAAGCCAATGAATTAACAGCAGGAGAAGTTTAAAACACAATAGAGGCACCAATTTCCAACACATTTAAGAGTAAACTATCAACCTCAACCAATGGGCCCTTTCGATATTGAATACACAAATAGACATTTAACGTGACAAGTGATTACAATTTTACCAATCAAAGAGGGAATACCAAATCCTTGGTGGAACCCACCATATGATTTTTACCAAATTCTTGCAAAGAACAAAACAGGTCCATAAGTTCCATCCACCAAGCAACTTGCCAAACAGCATTTAAAGGGAAGGGGAAGAGATAAGATTCATAAAGCTTACCTTCCCTTTGGGGTCTGCATATTTTAACTACCCTCCTGCCACAGAATAAAGGCTGTATAAGATCTTTGCTACCTCAATGCTTCCTGGCTCACAAGACCTGTAAAAATCCAGAAATATCACAAGCTGATATACAGAGTATGGTAGAGAAAGATAATTTTATGAGAGAGAGAGAGAGAGAGTGAGAGAGGGTATCCAATGTGGATGAAAGTAAATGAACATGTAGAAGTGTAGGATTCACTGAAGAACAAGTACCCTTTATCAACATACACAACCAAATAAGCACTATCCTTTTGAAGCAAAATAACCAAACAACCAAGTTCAGTACTTTCAAAAAGCTCAGCAAAAGCAGGACATTAGTAATTTTCAAGACACCCTTTGCCACATTCATTACATCAAACAGTTAATGCATACTTGGTGCCATTATTGCAACCATGAAGTGTACACAGCTACTGGGGACACAACAAAACGAAGGAAATTACGCAAATTACCCAAATAGGACAACTGTGATAGTTCTTCAACAAACACAAGTTAATAAGTTGGTTTCCATTCAAGGGCATTCTTGTCATTTTGAAAGAAGAAAAAAAATCACATCCATTCTCGCCGTGATTGAAGGCACTACTCTAAGCTTCTGGGTTTGACATTTGAAGAACACAGGAAGAAACGGAAACAAATTAATAATAAAGAACGGCAAAAAGTCTCTGTCTTCTCAACATAAAACACCATTTCAAACTTAAAAAAAAAAAAAAAAAAAACCACTAAATGTTGCTGTAAGTTGAAACTCAACTCACTGAAACCCTGGTTGAAGATAAAATACTTACTGTTAGATCAAGAATGATGAGTAAATCAAAGGTTAAAGCCAAAAGAATCCAGTCATTGAATCCGTAGGCAATGTAGCTCAAAAATCAGCTAACACAGGTTCCTTCCACAACCATGGTACTGAGAGAGAGAGAGAGAGAGAGAGAGAGAAAGGAGAGAGAGAGAGAGAGAGAGAGAGAGAGAGAAGAGAGTATTCCAGCTATTACCAGATAACAACAAAAACAACAAATCCAAACACACAATAAAAGAACCTAACGCTTAACAGCCTTTCTTAGATTCGAATACAGATTTGAAGAAGACATGTAAGAATAGCCTGCAGACTTGTGCTATCAGGCTCTGTACACCTAGACCTAACGCTCAAAAAAACATCGTTATTTGTACAGAAAAATAGCACATCATTACAACAAGCGCAATTTTATCAAAGAAAAAAGTAAAAAAAACAAGGAACCCACTTCTAAAGTAGGGTGGATTCTGCAACAAATAACTATTCTTCAAAAAACCAGATGGCAAAACACGAAAAACCACCATATTAACCTCCGTTAAGTTCTCGGAAAGCTTAAGAGCCTTTGCTCTGCTCACATTTTCCCGAGAACCAAACAGAGAGAAAAGGATATGGCTATATTTCTTCTATTAACTCTTTTCGAGAAGATAAGAAGGACAATGCGTTTCATTCTTACCAAGATCTTGGGAAGGGAAGGGTTTAGACCTTTGTTTCGAGACCCTGAACACTCTTACACCGAACCACTGAAACAAGAAGAAGAACAATGAGCCATTTGTGCTTTGAAAGAGTTCTGTAGACACAACTTTCAAGGCCACCTCCGTTTTCAACTGCTAAGTGGGACTTTGGAGAGAGAGAGAGAGAGGGGGCGTTCACGTAGAGGGGCGTGAGAGGGAAAATGCAACAATAGAGAAAGACAAAAGAGTAGAGAGAGAGAGTTGTCGTTTTACGAGAGCGTCTGAGAATATAGATTAAACTAATCTTACGTTTTGGGCCCACAGCAGTGCGGATGATTCTCTAATTTTTATTTTATTTTTCAACGATAACGGGTCTTCGGCACAGTTTATATACACTTCAATTAATTTTTCGGCACAGTTTATATACGCTTTAATTAATTCTGTTCTCAATTAAATCAAAATCAAATCATGTCCTCTCAGTTAAATCAAAATCAAATCATCTCCATTAAAAGTAAACTATTCGGTCTAATTCTAAAAACTTGTCAAAATTTGAGTTCAAAATGCTTAGATTTATAACTTATTTCTCTTAGGATTAATTCTCCAATTTGCTATTGTATGTAAAAAATAGATTAAACTAAAGTTAAACACAAATAATACAATTAATAAGTAATATAAATAAAAAATAGGCATTTTTTAATTTTTTGATCATATTATTTTTATGTCATGTCATTATGTATCTAAAATTAACAATTATCCACTTTTCTTCTAAAACTTAGTCATGTGAAATAGAGGTGAGGTGGAATGGACATGGGTGGGCTTAAGTGTAAAATCACAGCCCCATGTGACAGAGCTTTTCGTGAGGAAAACCTCACTTTCAACCTACAAAATAGAGATGAGCCAAATTATTGTCAAAATTAGAGAAGCGAAGATACCCATTTGTTCACCTTAAAGATCTGCAAAATATTTTGGATAATTAGAGAATACAACAATGATTTGTGCACCAGAGATATGCCAGATTNCGAAGATACCCATTTGTTCACCTTAAAGATCTGCAAAATATTTTGGATAATTAGAGAATACAACAATGATTTGTGCACCAGAGATATGCCAGATTATGGTAAGGCATTTTCTTCCTCTGTCTCTGTTTTTGTTATATTGACACTGCAAATCATTGTTTTTTGTTTTTTTTGTTTGTGTGACTTTGATTCTTAGTTTTTTTTAATCTTTCTCAAATAGTTTTCCCCATTTGTTTAGTCCAAATGGTTCTTGCCATTAGTTTAATCAAAAAAATACATATTGTATTTTGTCGTTTGGCTTTTGCGTCGACTGCGTGAATACATTAGTTGGATTTGAAAATGGATTCTTGTTTTGTTTGTTTATCTCAAAGTGTTTTGAGAAATTGTGTGGACCTATTTTTATATTGGATGTGGGGTTATGATTTTTTTTGGCTTTTTTTTTTCTCTTTGGAGGCTTTTTTTATTTGCTTTTTAAATTTTTTTATACAGTTGATGATTCCAGATATTTCACCATTAGAATGCATCACAATGAAAAATTCGATTAGAATGCATCACAATGGAAAATTCGATTAGAATGCATCACAATGGAAAATTTGATGGTTGCGGTGATAAAGTGTATATTGGTGGAAGAGTGAATAGTATTGATGTGTCACTTTGATCAAATTTCTCTTATAGAGTTGAACAACATGCTAAAGAATATTGGAGTTGGTTATAATCAAATTACCATATTTTATTTTGGCACCAAGCATATTGAATTTTACACTTAAGCCCATACCCCTCCCACCTCTAACTCACGTGACTTAGTTTTAGACGAAAAAGTGGATGGTTATTAGTTTTAGGTGCACAATAATATAAATTTATATCTTTAAGGATATAAATTGATATTTTTAAATTCTAAGAATATAATTTGAGATTCAAGAGATTTTTTGGAGTGTAATTTGAAATTAACCCTAAAAATAATATGAGCGGACACCCTTACTTCTCCCCCTTTAAAGGCAAATTTTTAGTAATCAATGAATCTTTATTTTTCAAAAGTAGTCCTGCTCTTGCTATTTCTAATAATATAACTAGTCACACTAAATTTGTAAAAGCCCATTAAACCACGATGTATAGATTCACATTAGACAACATTTTTTAAAAAATTTTAATTAATTCAATTCAATTCATAATTTCAAAAAAATAATAATAATTAAAAATTTCACGCATGTCCATGTATGTTAGGTTTAATTATATGGATATCCTCATATTTTATGTAGATTTGAAAGCAGACCCAATCCTTGACACAGATTAACAAATAACTATGTCACCTCTCTTTGTTTTTTATTTTGAACGGTTAAGGATGTTCGAGTCAATTTGTACGTAACTCGATTAATTTCCTTTTCCGTCCGATCAAAGACAGACCATTTGGAACTAGGTTAACCATGCTCTAAAGAGTTGTCAAAATTTTGAACTTAAGATATCTGAGTTTACACTTTTTTTTGGAGGAGGGGAAAAAGAGACTTGAACTCTCGACATTAAGAAAGTAAAATTTTCATAAAATAAGGAGTATCATTGAACTAAATGTCTTCTGAATTTACAGTTCGTCTCTATTATCATTTAAGTTTGACTTCAAGGAATTGTCATCTCGAACTCTCTTAAATAAATATTATATGTAACGATAATACCATGTTACGTGATTTCACTATCCAAATCATTGCTGAAGTTGGATTCTTTTATTGATCAAGATCTAAAATTGAACTAAACGATCAATTTGTTTATGATCCCAACGTAACACGAGATGAGGTACTACTGGCCCACCTTTTTTTTTACTATCTATTTTTGACAAAAAATTGTATGTGTTTGCCCATTATTTATTTTTGGGACAAATCTTATTTTGCATCTCGAAAGATATTTTTTAATTTTTAATTTATGCTAATAAATATTAAAAATCTTAATTGCACCCTCAATGTTATAATTTGATATCAATGTGAATTTGACTCGGCCTACAGTTCAGTTTTTCGTCATAAATTAAAGAACGCGACGTTCAAGTGTATTAGACATAAGGATGAGGTATATCCATGGTTACAGATTTTTGTTTGCGATGAATTTAGCACCATTTCGTATATGAAAAATAAGATTTTATTAATCAGATAGTGGTTAATCCTATCATGTGCATCACACATAAGACACCAACAATCTGTAAATTTACACATAAACTCATACCCGAAGTACTTTGCAAATCACGTGCCTTAATTAGAGAAAAATGAACTACAATTTAGACGAGATTTACATTGCTACCAATTTGTAATATTGATGGTGCAAATTAAAATTTTTAATGTTTGAGAGTGTAAATTGATAATCAAAATATCTTTTCGGGTGTGAAGTGAAATTAGTCTTTAATTTTGAGGCTAGTTTCACAAGACATGACCGTACATAAGATTGGGCCAGCATGTCGTAGGCAGATATGTATGGGCCTAAGTAGGAAGTCCCAAAAAAAAGTTGGCTTGTGATCATAATCACCTCACCATGGACGGCATGCCCAAACCTCAATTAATTATCTTTATTTATTAATTTTTGTGATAATTTTTATCTTTTATTCGAGTCATTTTATTTTTTTTTTATATTGGATGCTTGTCTCTCCTTCATAAACCCTATTGAATTGATATTTTCAAATTACTTGACACTTAATCGACTTACTGTTTCTCGATCTTATTGTGTTTTAATCGAAATGTATATATAATGAGTTTAGCTTATAATCACCTTCTAATTCTCCATTGTAATTCTTTTTTCTACATTTCCTCTTTTCTTAATCAAAATAAATTACTAATCTTTCTTTTTTTTAGCTTCTCTCTTCATCCCAAGGAGCATCACTAGCCTTTAGCAGCTCATAAACAAGCTTCAGATTATAGTTTCAGATTCACCCTTGTTTATATTCCAGTTCATTCCAGTTGCCTCTAAGATAGCTCTTCTCCTAAACACACTATTACAAATATTTGAGATTCAAATCCCTTCTAATACACTATGGACTCGTTTGGTAGACGTATTATGAAGGGATTAGATATTATGCTATTTTTTATTTAATCGGGGCTTAATACTTTATGAGTAATTTTACAAAACCCAAAAAATTGTAACTCAAATGCATATCATCCCTTAGATGAATGGATCCCATCAATTTTTTCAGTAGGACCCACTTATCTCAAGCTCGTCCAAAGAATGATATACATTTGAGTTTTAATTTTTGGGTTTTATTTGAATTATGTAGTATTTTTCTTACTTTCTTTGGTAAGCAAATTTGATATCGTATTAATTTTAAAAACGTATATTTATCGTATATTTTTTATACGATAAAATTGTATTATAAATATATTTTAATACCACAAAGAGAAGTGATATGATAATCCAATTCAAACATATTAATCTATTCATTTACTGTTATGACCCCTCAACTGATAAAATCAAGTTATCATCAATGTAACAAACACTAATTAATGGAATTTTTGTTAATTCAACATTAATACGATGAATAATTCTCTAACCAAACAACCAATTGAATTAAATAACTACTATCCAACGTTTATATTTTGCATTGTCAAACACTAGAATAAATTACATATTATTCTAATACTCCATTTTAATTTTGTCTTTTGTCTTTCTGTGTTGTATTAGATTGTATTATTTTATCTACTCTCGTCCATTTCTAATACGACAACCAAACGAATCATATGTTTCTTAATTCTTATTATTTAATGATACATAACTCACCGTATATCATATACATCATCTATGTCTATATTACTAATAAAAGTACCTTAAGATGAAAAATTTTTGATTCACTATTTTGCCCTTATAAAGAACTATAAACAAAAATCAAAATTTTGTTTCGGTGCATTGTTTCGATCATCTAGGAAAAGAAAACGTTTCGACGTATTTTTGAAACGTTTCGACCCATTTTGAAAATAGAATGAAAAAAAATAAAAAATTTAAGAATTATTTTTTCAAAATATTAGTTAAAATATATTCAAATATTTTGAAATACCTTAAAACATTCCAAAATAATTATGCAAATGTATTGAAATATAACAAAACATTTTTAAATATTATAAAACATCTTGAAGTATTAGAATTTCAATTCTAACACTGATTCATATTGCTCTCCTTAGAAACAGAAACGTTTCTGATGTTTCAATTATTTTGAAACGATATTTTGATCATTGACTATAAAAGCTAATATATCATTTTATATTTAAATATATAAATTATCATAATATCCCTTTATATTTAAATAACAAACAAATATTTAGCATATTATATAAATCTCTATATCTTTGCAAAACTTTTGAATGTTTATGTTATATTTAACATAATATAATATAAAAATAACATTATTATGTTTTTAAAAAAAACTCAATATTAATACACATTGACAAACAACTCTATTAATACAACATCATCTCTAATGTAAAAAAAAAAATGTATATATTTATCTTATCACAATCAAAATAATTTAGTAAAAAAATATTGATGCACAAAGTAAAAACAAGAAAGACAAAATAAAAAAAAATCTATAAACTTTACTGCTTGGTGACTCGAATGAAAGAATCATAGAAAATGAATCTATTGGATGTTTATAATTATCAAGAGAATGATAAATGTTAGATAAATATCTACATAATTAATTTTTTTTATGTTTTTTTATCAAATGTTTCAACAAAAAATTTTACTTGCATCGCACGTTGCTAGGAATAAGTGCACTATAAGTGGATTGTATTGAATTCATTACTAGGGCAGACCCAATTACTTGGTCAATAAAGTTTGGACTTTAGATTACACTTTAAGGAACGTTTTATAATTTTTAGGTGTATAATAATAGCCAAAATAAAAAATTTGAATTCATAAAAAAATAGGTCACATAAAAAATTTAAATTTAATCTCAAACAAAATATTTTAACTTGAATGAATTGGCCTCTTAATTCAGTCTATGAAGTTAAAATGCCTTAAAATTTAACACTTTTTGGAAGCCAATCCACACTTTGTGAACTTTTGAGAGAAAGAGAACATGCGTGTACTTTTGGGGACTTACAAGACAGCTAAAAACATAAAGATTAATTTATCCTTAATAAAATAAATAACTATATTACAAAATAGACAGTATCAACCAGAGATAACAATAACAATAACACAATCACATTAACAGTAATGTTCGTGTGAATGGGGTGTAAGGGGTAATAGCTGAGAATAGAGGTACTATAAAAGATAGTAGGGCTCGAGCATAGAGTGGTGGTGAACTAGATAGTAACATAATCACAATAACAATTATAGTCATTGTCAAAATTTTACAAAATTAAACAGTAACATAGACTAGACAGTCACACGATTACAATAACAGCCACAGTCAAAATTCTACGGAACTAGACAATATTGTGTGTTAGATAGCCACATGATCACAATAACAATGACAAAAATAGTGAATTTTGTTATTACTGTCTAAATTTTAAAGTGTAAATTTGAAATAAATTTTGCTTAATACCAAAGAAATTTTGTCCAAATACATTTGATTAATAATGCATTTTATCAAACACCATTTGAACATATACATATGTTTGTGAGTTTGATCATCTGATCTTACTTTACAAGCATTTTTCTTAAGATTAATTTAGATAATATATACAGCTAGACTCTCATTGCACCCTATCGAATATTTGGGCTACTCCATTCCAGAAGCAAATCGTTTCCTCTCCTTTTATACCGACGATCCTTTCGACAACCGGTGGGAACTTAACGATGAGCTCATATGTAACTCATGATTTGTAACTTAATTGATTTTGATCTCTATTGGATGAGTTTTCATAGAATTGGAACAAATTAGCGTTGGAATTGAAATCCATGGCATCTAGGTGGAACATTCATTACAGCCGTCTCCCTGCCGATGAAGACGATGATTATGACGGTAGCGGTGGAAGACAATACGATCCTAAATTTGACTATACGCCAAGAAAAGTCCCACGGAAATCCATTGCGCTTGCAAATTTCCTGCTCTTTCTCGGATGTTTCCTCTCCTCATTTCGATATTCATCTACACAGGTCATATGGAAGGAGATCGGCCACAAGCGTACGGCCAGTTACGGCTCCAGAATCGAATCACAGGCCGAAAGAAAATATGAGATGATAGACTTTGTTCTTTTCTAAAAAGTTAATTGTACGTTTTAACATGTGTATGAATTGAATTGATCAAAGATAAAATAGTTATTTATATGACAAATAGTTATTAATAATTATGATATATCCGTGAGTCCTATATGTGTATGTGTTGTATACCAAACATGAGTATAAATCGAATTAAATGTTGAATCACATTTTTATAAAAAGGGGTTTGAGTTTAAGTTTGAGCTTGGAATGATTTAAAAAAGACAATCCAAACCGCTCATCAAAATTCATCTAAACAAGCGCTTAGGCCTTAAAAGAGTTGCACCTAGATCTATTTTGACAAAATAGATCATCATATTATACTTGGTTTCAATTTTTACTAAAATTTAATATTACTGTTTTTTTTAAAAAAAACTAACACTAAAATTAAATCTACTAAAAATCAAACCTTAACCCCCCCAAAAAATCAAATTCAAATTTACCATCAATTTTTAAATCATTCTTTCCTCCTCTCTTTCTCTCTTACTATCAAATTTAACTATGATAACAAAAGTTTAATTTATATTTTTTGCATAAAAAAATAAATTTATTATTAATATTAAAAATAAAAAAAAATTATTTATTATTTTTGCTTTGGGCCCCAAAATGTCTCAGGCCGACCTGTTCATAACTAGTGATCTTTAAAAATGTTTTTTTTTTTTAAAAAAATTTGGGGATATAAATCCGAAGTGCTATCTTTTCTTGCTGATAAAAAAATAAAAAACTTTCAAAACCTTTGGCCACTTAGCCTCTGGATTCTTTGCTAAGCATCCAAATTTGTTTGTAAGTGTAACATCTTTGGCCGGTTGGTTATTACCATCCGATAAGGAAAGGCTAAGGAAGATAATAATAAAGTCCACATCCCCGACCAGGAATTTTGGGAGGTCTTGTTTGAATATGCTACAATTAGTGCAGTGGGACCTATCCATGGATACCCTCNGACCAGGAATTTTGGGAGGTCTTGTTTGAATATGCTACAATTAGTGCAGTGGGACCTATCCATGGATACCCTCGACGTCGAGGTCAACTTTTTGCCCTAAATAAAAGCCATACCCCTTCTAATTTATCATATTTTTAAATACATCTCTTTTATTTTTTGAATCTTNTCTTACTTTACAAGCATTTTTCTTAAGATTAATTTAGATAATATATACAGCTAGAATCTCATTGCACCCTATCCAATATTTGGGCTACTCCATTCCACAAGCAAACCGTTTCCTCACNACTCTCATTGCACCCTATCGAATATTTGGGCTACTCCATTCCAGAAGCAAATCGTTTCCTCTCCTTTTATACCGACGATCCTTTCGACAACCGGTGGGAACTTAACGATGAGCTCATATGTAACTCATGATTTGTAACTTAATTGATTTTGATCTCTATTGGACGAGTTTTCATAGAATTGGAACAAATTAGCGTTGGAATTGAAATCCATGGCATTTAGGTGGAACATTCATTACAGCCGTCTCCCTGCCGATGAAGACGATGATTATGACGGTAGTGGTGGAAGACAATACGATCCTAAATTTGACTATACGCCAAGAAAAGTCCCACGGAAATCCATTGCGCTTGCAAATATCCTGCTCTTTCTCGGATGTTTCCTCTCCTCATTTCGATATTCATCTACACAGGTCATATGGAAGGAGATCGGTCACAAGCGTACGGCCAGTTACGGCTCCAGAATCGAATCACAGGCCGAAAGAAAATAAGAGATGATAGACTTTGTTCTTTTCTCAAACAAATTCTTTAAAATATAATAGGGATAATTTTGTCATTAAAATAAAATTTTATTATTAGTTTGGACCTAACCGCTAAACAGTTTGGTAAGGGGGGTATGGGGCTTGAAAAGATGGGTTCGGGGGAAAATAATTCAAAGCCCCCAAATTTTATGTTTGGATTAAAAATTTAATTTTGGGTTTTTAAATCCAATCCGTAGCTGACCCAAAAATTAAACTCATGATCGTGAGTTTCGTCAAACTTAGGGAATAGGTGAATTTGAAAGGATGGGTTAAAGAGTTAAAAATATAAAAGATAATTGTACGTTTTAACATGTGTATGAATTGAATTGATCAAAGATAAAATAGTTATTTATATGACAAATAGTTATTAATAATTATGATATATCCGTGAGTCCTATATGTGTATGTGTTGTATACCAAACATGAGTATAAATCGGATTAAATGTTGAATCACATCTTTATAAAGAGGGGTTTGAGTTTAAGTTTGAGCTTGGAAGGATTTAAAAAAGTCAATCCAAACCGCTCATCAAAATTCATCTAAACAAGCGCTTAGGCCTTAAAAGAGTTGCACCTAGATCTATTTTGACAAAATAGATCATCATATTATACTTGGTTTCAATTTTTACTAAAATTTAATATTACTGTTTTTTTTTTTAAAAACTAACACTAAAATTAAATCTACTAAAAATCAAACCTTAACCCCCCAAAAAAATCAAATTCAAATTTACCATCAATTTTTAAATCATTCTTTCCTCCTCTCTTTCTCTCTTACTATCAAATTTAACTATGATAACAAAAGTTTAATTTATATATTTTGCATAAAAAAATAAATTTATTATTAATATTAAAAATAAAAAAAGTTTTATTTATTATTTTTGCTTTAGGCCCCAAAATATCTCAGGCCGACCTGTTCATAACTAGTGATCTTTAAAAATGTTTTTTTTTTTTTTTAAATTTGGGGATATAAATCCGAAGTGCTATCTTTTCTTGCTGATAAAAAAATAAAAAACTTTCAAAACCTTTGGCCACTTAGCCTCTGGATTCTTTGCTAAGCATCCAAATTTGTTTGTAAGTGTAACATCTTTGGCCGGTTGGTTATTACCATCCGATAAGGAAAGGCTAAGGAAGATAATAATAAAGTCCACATCCCCCGACAAGGAATTTTGGGAGGTCTTGTTTGAATATGCTACAATTAGTGCAGTGGGACCTATCCATGGATACCCTTGACGTCGAGGTCAACTGTTTGCCCTAAATAAAAGCAATACCCCTTCTAATTTATCATATTTTTAAATACATCTCTTTTATTTTTTGAATCTTCACTATACCTCCTTCCGATTAAAGGTGTTAACTAAAATATAATTTTACTAAATTTCTCATGATATATTTGAAGAAAAACTTCATCCACACCTCTTCGAGATAGACATATTTTTAATGAAACCTCTTATGTTTTATAAATTTTGTAAGTATTAAAATTCGGGTCGATTAAAATTTGATTGAGTCGAATTTTAATACATAAAAAATAAATTTTAATCAAGTTGAATCGAATTTTAATTAGCATGAATTTTAATAATTAAAAATATATAAATTTTAATCAACTCAAAGCAAATTTTAATTGGCACTAACATCTCAGGTAGATCTCAAATCACCTCGAATTTTAATACTTAAAAAAAGAATTTTAATAGACTCAAATTTTTAATATGTTAAAAAAAAAATTTAATCAAATCGAATTGNTCTCAAATCACCTCGAATTTTAATACTTAAAAAAAGAATTTTAATAGACTCAAATTCTAATATGTTAAAAAAAAAATTTTAATCAAATCGAATTGAATTTTAATTGGCTCAAATTTTAAACTGTAGAAAAATAAATTTTAATCGGCTCGAATTTTATATAGAAAGATTGTTTTGTATTTTTCTAGGGGTATTTTTGATATTTTGTNAATATATAAATTTTAATCAACTCAAAGCGAATTTTAATTGGCACTAACATCTCAGGTAGATCTCAAATCACCTCGAATTTTAATACTTAAAAAAAGAATTTTAATAGACTCAAATTCTAATATGTTAAAAAAAAAATTTTAATCAAATCGAATCGAATTTTAATTGGCTCAAATTTTAAACTGTAGAAAAATAAATTTTAATCGGCTCGAATTTTATATAGAAAGATTGTTTTGTATTTATATAGGGGTATTTTTGTTATTTTTTTTTGCTAGAAATTGTGGTTTAATGGCAAGAGTGTCAGTGATGTTTAAATATAAACTAGAAGGGGTGTCGATGATGTTTTGATAATAGAGAAAGTGTCTTTGAAGATATAGTAAACTAGAAGAAGTGTGACTGAAATTTTCTCCTTTTTTTTTTTTTTATGTGTTGGGAAAATATGCCGATCAATGTATCTCATAGGAAATTTAATTAANTATTTTTTTTTGCTAGAAATTGTGGTTTAATGGCAAGAGTGTCAGTGATGTTTAAATATAAACTAGAAGGGGTGTCGATGATGTTTTGATAATAGAGAAAGTGTCTTTGAAGATATAGTAAACTAGAAGAAGTGTGACTGAAATTTTCTCCTTTTTTTTTTATGTGTCGGGAAAATATGCCGATCAATGTATCTCATAGGAAATTTAATTAAAGTAAATTCAAATTTGAATTTAGAATTTCGATTCGTTATGGATTTAAATATTTGACAAACTAATGAGTCTTTGATTTAATGATATTTTTTATTTTGTAAAGGCTTTGTCTTCTTGAGATTAAGGGTTCAAGTCCCCCTTCCCCCTCCCCAAAAAAAAAAAAAAAATATTTGACAAAATTTAATTTTTATTATTTAAAATTAAAATTTAAAGAATTTGTTTGAAAAAAAAAGTCCAAAAAAGGCTCAAAAACATGTGTTTTGGCATTTTGAAGTTTTTTTAAAAAAAAAATTAGTTGCTTGCCCAGGACGCTGCCTGCTCACCCAAAAGCTGCCTGCTTGCCCAAAATCGCACGTCCAACTCTTTGCTCGTTATTTTGACCATAACTTTCGGTCTGTTACTCTAAATGGGACTCNAATGTATCTCATAGGAAATTTAATTAAAGTAAATTCAAATTTGAATTTAGAATTTCCATTCGTTATGGATTTAAATATTTGACAAACTAATGAGTCTTTGATTTAATGATATTTCTTATTTTGTAAAGGCTTTGCCTTCTTGAGATTAAGGGTTCAAGTCCCCCTTCCCCCTCCCAAAAAAAAAAAATATATTTGACAAAATTTAATTTTTATTATTTAAAATTAAAATTTAAAGAATTTGTTTGAAAAAAAAAAGTCCAAAAAAGGCTCAAAAACATGTGTTTTGGCCTTTTGAAGTTTTTTTTTAAAAAAAATTAGTTGCTTGCCCCGGACGCTGCCTGCTCACCCAAAAGCTACCTGCTTGCCCAAAATCGCACGTCCAACTCCTTGCTCGTTATTTTGACCATAACTTTCGGTCTGTTACTTTAAATGGGACTCATAATATATCAAATCGAAGCTGTCGGCGAGCCCTACAAAACTCACAGCCTATGACTGTGAGTGATATTATTAAAACCCCAAAAAAGGCACATGTTTTGGCCTCCCGAAGTTTTTTAAGTTATGTCGGTCAACCGAAAATTCAAACTTAAATTGAATGTCCTCATTTTCAAGTTCTATTAGACACAAGATATTAGGGGGCAAATGATGGGCCAAGCCCAAAGGCCCAACTCATGCTATAAGCCAGGTTCGAGTTAAAGGCCCAACTCCAAGAGATCCACAAAGTCTAGCCCAATGTGGTCATCCTGGTCAAGCTCAAAGAGCTACATCGGCGAGGAGTACACAAGGGTCATCCAAGAGCCTCCTCTAACACCTTACAATAAGGGTTATCTAAGTGCCTCCTCCTCGCCACCTTGGAGTAAGAGTCATTCCATGAGCCTCTCTCTCACGACCTAGCGAGAGTTAACATTCTCTCATCCTTTGACCAAGTCCTTTGGAGAGCACCATAACTTCCTTGCCAGTTGAGGAGAGGAGAGAAGAGGTCGTCAAACTATTTAATTACTATTAAAGTCACCCCACTATGTTATGACTATTAAACGGCCCCAACCTGTTATGATCGTCAGACTAACTATTCAATTACTACATTAAGCCACTATAAATTGTAAGCTCTACCAACACTTGAGGGGCATCAGACTCATTCGAGCATAATTCTCTCCTCCCCTGTAACTCTTTGCTCTCCCTACACACCGGCGTTAATAAAATACTGGCGACTCTTGCCATTCAAAGTGGACGTAGGTCACGGTGACCGAACCACTATAAACCTTGTTTTCTCTCCCTCTTAACTTATTTTACTGGATTTTATACTGTTTACTTGATAAGTGGTGTGCAAATCAATTTGTGCATCATCACAAACAAATAATAATCGAATTAATTATTAATTTATATCTGCAGGATNAAGTGGTGTGCAAATCAATTTGTGCATCATCACAAACAAATAATAATCGAATTAATTATTAATTTATATCTGCAGGATGGAATATGATATAATGAATCTAGATTCAAATTTAGATAATAAGTTAAAAATTCCAATATATATATATATGATCAATTATACTTNTAATTTATATCTGCAGGATGGAATATGATATAATGAATCTAGATTCAAATTTAGATAATAAGTTAAAAATTCCAATATATATATATATGATCAATTATACTTGGATCCGAATTAAATTTGAAAGCAATATATTGGTCGCAATTGATATAACTCATTTGAGTTGCAACAATCTCAACATCTTCTTTTCTTGAGACTGATATATAATTCATATAAATCACAAATCTCACTTGCGCTACATGGTTTATTTAGAGGCGTCTCAAATGCTTTGATTGAATCATTCGAGTTATAGTCAACGAATCACAATATATAATATGATATCATTATGTCTAGCGTATATTTGGATTGCAGACGTGCCAAAATTCGATTAAACTTAAAATCAAAAAACGTA